GATATTATGGAAGAAAGTCTCGGTGGGGCTGTATCAGAAGAAGGGACAAGATGGGAATATATCAAAAGTTCCAGCGAGAGTCATGGCATGCTGTTGGGGTCCCGGAAGGCCTGCAACCACTTTTGTGATGTTGGATTCATTTGGTGAAATTGTTGATGTTTTATCTGCGGGATCTCTCAGTATCCGTGGTCAAAATGTGAATGATCAACAAAGGAAGAAAAACGATCAACAACGGATTGTGAAGTTCATGATGGATCACAAACCTGATGTTGTTGTTTTGGGAGCTGTGAATGTGCCTTGCAGCAGGCTGAAAGAGGATATTACTGAGGTGATTGTGTTTTCATATAGTAATTTTTACAGTATGCTGCAACAATCATTGGTTTGTTTGCATATATACATAATTCTGTCTGAATATATTATTTATGATGAAAGATAATTCAGAAGGCGCTGGAAGATAGTTCAGAAGATGGACTAAGCGTTGTATATGGCGACGAGTCTCTACCCCGTTTGTATGAAAATTCAAATATATCATCTGAGCAGTTTCCGTCTCAATCTGGCAAGTTACTTTGATTGAATCCTGTCGATTTCTTTACATATTTCATTCCTTCCAAAAACGCCCTTAACTTTAATTCATTAATCTTTTTCAGGCATTGTGAAGCGTGGTATTGCACTTGGACGATACCTCAAAACCCGTTAACGATGGCTGCAACTCTCTGTGGGCCCGGGAAAGAGATATTATCCTGGAAACTTAGTCCTTTAGAGAGCTTTATAACTTCGGATGAGAAGTACAGCATAGTTGAACAAATCATGGTAGATGCAACCAACCAAGTTGGGGTGGAGTTAAATTTGGCCATAACCCACGAATGGTTGTTTGCTCCTCTACAGTTCATTTCTGGGCTGGGACCCACAAAGGCGGTTTCTTTACAAAGATCTTTAATTCGGTCGGGTTCGATATGCACCCGGAAGGATCTGTTGACCCATGGTCTTGGCAGAAAGGTGTTCATAAATTCGGTTGGTTTCTTACGTGTAAAAAGAAGTGGGAATGCCACTAGCAGTAGCCAATCGTTTGATTTGCTAGACGATACAAGGATTCACCCGGAATCGTATAATTTAGCTGAGGAAATTGGCTAAAGAGATTTATCGTGCAGATGCCCAAGATGATGTAGCTGTGAATGATGACAATGATGATGATGATGATGTCATCGAGACAGCAATGGAGCACGTGAGAGAAAATCCGGACCTATTGAAGAGTCTTGACATCGACTCATATGCCAAATCCAAGAAGCGGGAAGATAAAAAAGAGACTTTTAACCTTATAAAACAAGAACTGATAAACGGGTTTCAAGATTGGCGAAGAGGGTATGTAGAACCGAGTCAGGACGAGGAGTTCTTGATGATTTCCGGGGAGACGGAGAGCACGCTTTCGGAAGGAAGAATCGTGCAGGCTACGGTCCGGCGTGTGCTACCTCAGAGGGCGATATGTAGTCTTGAGTCCGGGTTGAGTGGTATGCTGAACAAGGAAGATTATAGTGATGATTTAAACGATGAAGAGTTGACTGAGAAGTTGAAGGAAGGTGATGTTTTGACTTGCAAGATAAAGTCAGTTGTGAAAGATAGGTATCAGGTTTACCTTAGTTGTAAGGAAAATGTTATGAGGAGTAAGTGGGTGTCACAAAATGACAAACCCGTGGATCCGTATTATAATGAAGTTCGCGACAGTTCAGGGGAAAAGCCTCCGACTCCGAGTGGTAGTAGTAGCAGTAAAGTTAAGGAGATAACAAAGAAGCTTTTCAAGCCAAGAATGATTGCTCATCCTCGCTTCAAGAATGTTACTATAGATGAAGCCATAGAGGTACTTATTATTTACTATTAAATTAAATAATAATAGCATACTTTTATTGTTGATTGATTAAATATTAAATATTAAATATTAATTTACTTACTCAGTTACTGGCGGAGAAAGAAGCCGGTGAGAGTGTTTTCCGGCCTAGCTCTCGTGGAGCCTCATATTTAACGTTAACGCTCAAAGTCTACAATGGGGTGTATGCTCACAAGGACATTCTAGAAGGTGGAAAAGAGCATAAGGACATTACAAGCTTGCTTCGTCTTGGGAAAACACTTAAAATAGGAGAGGATGTGTTTGCTAACCTTGATGAGGTCGGTCAGTTTTTCTTTTTTGTTTTGCTATAAAAAAATCAATGAAAGTAGGTTGCTGTTTTCTTATATGTTTGTGTTGTATTGTTTTGATTGATTGATAGGTAATTGCGGGATATGCGGAACCCTTGGCAGGACATTTGAAGAAAATGTTAGGCTACCGAATGTTTAAGCATGGGACAAAAGCTGAGGTAGATGAGATACTGAGGAAGGAAAAGTCGGAGCACCCTTCAAGAATTGTTTATTCTTTTGGTGTCTCTCATGAACATCCGGGGACCTTCATTCTGACATACATAAGGACTTCCAACGCGCATCATGAGTATATTGGATTGTATCCAAAAGGGTTTAGATTCCGGAAGAATATGTTTGAGGAAGTTGATCGGTTGGTAGCATATTTTCAACAACATATTGATGATCCCCGTGAACGTCCTGGGGATTCTGCTGGCTGGGGCGGGGTCGGTGATGATGGTGGTGGTCGTGGCCGGGGAAGAGGAGGAAGAGGTAGGGGGCGGGGGAGAGGGCGTGGTCGTGGCAGGGGAAATGATTCTGAGAATGAAAACCAGGATTCAGGTTATGGAGATGGTGGTGGCAGCAGTTGGGGTGGGGGTGCTGGTGGTGGTGGCAGTTGGGGGCAAAAGGCTTCTGATTCAGGTGATGCCAACAAGGATGCAGATGATAGTGGGTGGGGTGGCAGCAAGAAAAGTACTCAGGCAGGAGAAAGTGGTGGATGGTCTGGTGGTGCAAGTGGTGGTTGGGGACAGAAAAGTAACGATTCTGGTTCGGGAGATGCCATCAAGGATGCAGATAGTGGTGGGTGGGGTGGCACTAAGAAAAGTACTGATGGTGGTGGATGGTCTGGTGGCGGTGGCGGTGGAAGTTGGGGGAAGAAGAATAGTGGTGCTGATGATTCAAACAAGGAAGCTGATAGCGGTGGGTGGGGTGGCAGCAAGAAAAGTACTGGTGGTGATGCAGGTGGTGGATGGTCTGGTGGTGGTGGGGGTGCAAGTGGCAGTGGCGGTAGTTGGGGACAGAAGAATAGTGGTGCTTCTGGTTCAGGCGGTGCCGACAAGGATGCAGATAGTACTGGGTGGGGTGGAGGCAAGAAAAGTGCTGGTGGTGATGCAAGTGGTGGTTGGTCCGGTGGTGGGGGCAGCAGTTGGGGACAGAAGAATAGTGGTGCTTCTGGTTCAGGTGATGCCAACAAGGATGCAGATAATACAGGGTGGGGTGGCGGAAAGAAAAGTACCGGTGGTGGTGCAATTGGCGGATGGTCTGGCGGTGGTGGTGCAAGTGGTGGCAGTGATGGTGGTGAAAGTGGTGGATGGTCTGGTGGTGGTGGTGGCCGTGGTGCAAGTGGTGGATGGTCTGGTGGTGGTGGCGGTGGAGGTCGTGGTGGCCGTGGTGGATGGTCTGGAGGTGGTGGTGCAAGTGGCGGCAGTGATGGCGGTGAAAGTGGTGGATGGTCTGGTGGTGGTGGCCGTGGTGGATGGTCTGGTGGTGGCAGCCGTGGTGATGGTGGTGGTGGTCGTGGTGGATGGTCTGGAGGTGGTGGTGCAAGTGGCGGCAGTGACGGCAGAGAAAGTGGTGGATGGTCTGGTGGTGGCGGTGGCCGTGGTGGATGGTCTGGTGGCGGTGGCCGTGGTGGATGGTCTGGAGGTGGTGGCCGTGGTGGTGGTACAAGTGGCGGTGGCGGTGGTGGCAGTGCTGGTGGTGGTGGTTGGGGGTCGAAGAATAACAGTGCATCTGGCTCAGGTGACGCCAACAAAGATGCAGATAACAACAGTGGATGGGGTAAGAAAAGCTCTGGGGGTGGTGGTTGGTGATGGTGATGGTAAATCTGGTATATCTTATTTTCTGTCTTGACTTTTTTTTTAGGATATGTTTTAATGTTTATGTGGAAATTCGGATCCTATTTATTCTACCTGTCTTTTGTTGAAATCAAATCCAATGGGAATGTAGTAGTTTGTACAACTTCTTCTTAGCCAACTACTACATGTTTGCTCGATCGTTTTAAGTTTTTAAGTTTGTTTCTCAATGCGTTATGCGTTCACAGTGGCTCTTTATTATAATAACATATACATATTTTTTTTTCGTAAATAACATTATTATAATTACAATAATAGAACGGTTGATCAAATTTTTTTATATTATATTATAAAGCATAATAATTATATTTTGAATTTTAAGAGGTATAAGTCAATTATAATATAATCATAATTGTATTATAAGATATTATTTTTTGTACAAATCAATTATAAATAAATAGTTCATTAATACCTTTAAAAGTTTAAATACTTGAATTAAAGAAGGTTTTAAAAAAATATAATTTGTATCAAAATGTCATTTTTAAAATATTAATTTAATGTATATAATTTAATTTATATTTTTTAAATTAGACACCAATATTAATTAATTACATTAAATATATAAAAATACAGTATAAAGAAAATATATCTAAACATAAATATTTTATTTAGAAGTTAATAACTAATAATAAAATATAATAATTATTTTTTGTAAGAACATTGTTCACCAAAAAAGTTAAAAGTTATTTATGATCGTTGCTTTGTTAGGCACATATCAAACATAATTTAAATGTTTTCAAACATTTTACAAAATAGTAATCAAATAGTTGGTTACTTGAAACAAGATTATTAATCACATTTAAAAGAAATTTAAGATAAAGAATATGATGACTTTAAAATATGATCACCATTAAATGCAATATTAAATTTTTTTATAAATTTGTTTACAACTAATTAAAACCAATACGTTCACTTAAAAAAATTATTATTAACTTTTGCAATCAATTAATTCTTTTTAAATAATAAAAATTAATAAGATAAAAGGTACATAAAATAACTACAAATTATAAAAATGATTAAAGATAACATATATTATATATTTACATTATATAAAAAACAAATAATTATCAGAAACATAAAATACAAGATTCAATACTTTAAAGGCTATAAGGTTCGAAAGAATGATATCACTCCCTTATTTTGCCACACTTCCTTACCACACTCAAGGAGTGGTATACCATGAAAAGACAAAAGAGAAATAAGAAAGAGATAGAGAGAGGACTCTCTTAATTTTGGCCGCACACCTCAAACTGCATAGAGGGGCGGTGTTTACTATGCCACATAGGCGTCATTCTTACCGCACTCAATTCCCCATAGCCTAAGACCTTCTAGAATAAATGTTTTGAAAAAAATTCTTGATTGAGTTGACAACGACGATGACTATGCACACCGTCTATGACAGTGATCGTGGTGGGTTTCTTCTCTCTTGCAAATCTTCTTATTTCTCTCTCTCTCTCTCTCTCTCTCTCTCTCTCTCTCTCTCCTTTAAGGTGGAAAGTACTCCGGTGGTTCGTGATAGCTGATCTGAAAGCTCTCTATAACTATTAACGTGGAGAGTACTCTTGAAGGCCTAAATAAAAAACAAATGATGTTTCAGTTGTGTCTTATAACCTTTTCAATTACACACATACAAATAAAATAATAACACAATTTCAAAGAAAACATATTAAGACATCAATAACTAATTTGCAATTTTAAAATACATCTTAATTTAAGTAATATATACCATATAATGGTGATTATAGGGTTCTCTTGAAAAAAAATATAGAAAAATGATTTTTTTAGTTCCGAAAAAATATCATTTTTTTTTTCTTCATGAAATCTTTAAGCCTGCATATGCATATTTTGTATTGTTTTGATTGAAAAATATACGTTGTTGTAAGCATTGTGGCACCAATCAAAAGAAATTTTTGATGATTTGACTTTTAAATAAATTACGCCAAGGTGAGTGTTCTAATATTTAATTAGCCTAATATAAATGTTCCAAATACCATGATCACAATTATGTTTGAAATAGATTTTATACGAATTAAATACATAACCTTGAAATGGTCTAAGTGTTTCCACCAAATAAATTTATCGATAAATGAAAGTATCTAATAAATAACTTAACGTAGGTTTTGTTTGGTACTACAATTAGTTTATAAGCTAGTTTATTTTCAAGTTTTTATAAATTTTCACATTTACATTTTTTTTTAAAAAAAACATAAGTTTTTTTAAAATATTTTCAAAAATATCCTTCATTGGTTATAAAATACTCATTATCCTTGAAGTTATTTTATATCTTAATCTAAGTTATCAACTAATTTTACAAAACATTATTTTTTAGTAGCTAATTTTTCGACTGATATCCAAACATGTCATAAAGTTTATTATAAAAATATTTTTGGGTTGTACAATATGTATAATAAATTATGTTTTTGGCATTGTCTTAAGAGGGTGTTTGGCCAAGTTTATTTAGAAAAAGTTATAATTTTTTGATTATAACTTATTTGGTAAAATAAAAAGTTTTTAATAAATAAAGTGTACCTTATTTATCACTTTTTGACTTATTAAAGTTTACCAAGCTATAAACTATTTTATCCAAACATTTTTTTTTAACTTATACCCATATGAAACGGATAATATATAAAAAAAACTCATTTTTAAACAAACAACCTAGATCCAACTATGTCAGGGTGACTAAAATTGCAAAATCTCCAAACAATGTATAAAATAAAGTGCCCCAAAATAATTTGAAAAGTTGAGGAAGGTGGAGGTAAATGGCTTTTATGTCCTTGCCCTTCTTTCAACGGATAAACCCATGAGTTTTCCGGCAATTTCTCTTTGCGACTCCGTCAAAGCTTTTGTCTCTATGTATCAATGGCTTCTACCGGAGACAAAAATGTAATACTCACTCCATTTCTTACTTTCCGTGTCCATCTTTCCCCCCTAACTTGATCATTGCCACTTACACCTTTTCTTCGAGTGATCACTGCTAGAAGCCTAGAAATACTCTGCTCCCAGGTTAGTTGCAGAAATTCATCATTTGTTTACCAACAGGGAATTTGATATGAGTTGATTATATGTAAATTACCTTGCTTGTAAAAAAAGACAGATGAGTGTTATTTTCCAACTTGGTTAGATTACTTTTTGTTGAAACAAGTTCACTATTTGGCTCTATGATTCGTTTCGCTTCCTGGAAACTGTAAATACATGTACATCAAATCATATGGGTATTTGCTAATTTTCAGAGGTGAATCGCTTTTGCGTCCTCAATTTCTTATATTTTGATTAATTATGTGTTCTTTCCTAGTGAAAACAATCGATCTATTTGTTAATCTGTGAAAACGATGAACGATCGATCTATTTTGTTACTATGTGTTCCCTTTCTTTTTCTTATGTAGGCACCCTGAAGATTGAGGGTATTGAAACTCCGGGTCTCTTAAAATGGGTGAAACCAGTGGTAATGGAAGCTTACCAATACCACCTCTATCAAACTATAGAATGGGGAAAACCCTTGGGATTGGAGCATTCGGTAGAGTCAAAGTAGCCCAACATATTTTGACCGGAGTCAAAGTGGCCATAAAGATCCTTGCTCGTCAATCAATCAATGATTCTGCTGCAGAGAAAGGTATTCCTAAAATTACAACAATTGCCGCTTTCTTTCCTGTGAAGTGATGAAGTTGATGATTTCCTTTACTTCTTCATGATTGTATTTTCAGTGAGACGAGAGATTAATATAATGAGGCTTCTTTCCCATCCTCATATTGTTCGGCTTTATGAAGTCATAGAGACTCGATCATGCATATATGTCATCATGGAGTATATGAACTCAGGTGAACTATTTGATTATATCACTGAAAATGGTAGACTTGAGGAAGGTGAAGCTCGCCATCTCTTTCAACAGGTATCCATGCTCATGTTTATTGCACAAAATCATCCTCATCCTGCTCTTTTTATATCACACTATCACCTTGTGTTTTGTTGTTGAATTTTTCAAGATTTTAAAGATACAAATTTATATATTCCATTCCACAAGGCACAAGCTAATGGATGATGATTCCATGTAGATTATTTCAGGTGTAGAGAGTTGCCACCTTCACATGGTGGTTCACCGAGATCTTAAGCCTGAAAATCTACTTCTTGACTCAAAAGGAAATGTCAAAATTGCTGACTTTGGACTTGCTAATATCATGCGAGATGGACATCTTCTAAAAACTAGTTGTGGAAGCCCTAATTATGCTTCTCCAGAGGTGTGTGAGTTGATTCTTTTCTACTTAATGAACTTAATATAATTTTTTTTTTTTTTTTTTTTTGGTGTAGGTTATCTCAGAACGTCTTTATGCTGGACCTGAAGTTGATGTTTGGAGTTGTGGGGTTATTTTATATGCTCTTTTATGCGGAAGTCTTCCTTTTGATGATGACAATCTTTCTGGCTTATATGCAAAGATAAAGGTTTGTATATATATTTAAGCTCCCAAGTGAAACTTATATATATACTGACATGGGTATTAATCACTTGTTATCAGAGTGGAATATACACATACCCAAACTACTTGTCTCTTGGAGCACGTGACTTGATTAGAAAGATGCTTATTGTTGATTCAGTTAATCGTATTACTATTCCAGAAATATACAAGCATCCATGGTTTCAAGAACATCTTCCAAAATACATTGCAGGCCATTCGATCGATACTTCATGGAGTGCAAGAAAGGTGTATAAAGTTATCAAATTTCAAAATTTCTATAATCAGTAAAAAGTAACTTCTTTATTTATCCGTTCTTGATACAGTTATCTGAAATCTAATAATCATGTGTATGTATATTCCAAGGTTGATGTTAGAGTCCTAGAAGAGATGGATATCTTAGGGTTCAATGTTCAAGAAGTTATTGGATCTTTGAACAACCTGTTGCAAAATCAGGTGATGAAACTCTCTCAATTGTTGATTCCATTACATATATTTCAACTGTAAAAGTGACCATTTTTTTTTAAATATTTTCCTTTCAGGCAACTGTTACATATTCTATATTATTGCATAAGTTGTTGAGTAACCATAATTACAACAAAGACAATCCTCTAGCATCTTTGGTAACTTCAGTTATTCTTTTATTATCATGAATTGCAACTTGTATTACCGTTTTGGGAAGACAAAAGTATAATTTTCATCATGAAAAGATAACATAGATTAAAAAAAAAAAAAGGGGTCTTATTTATTTATTTATTTGTTTTTGTAGCCACTGGAATGCACAGATCGGCGAGAAATATATGTAAGACCAGTTTCTCCTGTTCAAGGGAAATGGGTACTTGGATTCAAGGTCATTTTCGTCTTTATGCATTGTTATAACAGGATTGGACAAACTTTCTTGGGTTACTTCATAAAATTTGGTGCCCTAGATCTTTTTGGATATAAATTGGTAGTATATATTTCTGAATGCAGTCCTGTGCATCACCACATGAAACTATGAGACATGTTTTAAGCGTCCTCAAGAGCTTGAATGTACAATGGAAGAAGATCGGGGCATACAACTTGAAATGTCTATGGAAACCAGCAGCACTTGAAAGCTATTCCAAGTCTATAGGCATCCATAGAGATGATGCCACCTGTCAGAGTATACCAATCAAGACCTCAAACATGGAAGCCTTTAGTTTGTGTGATGCAGTCAAGTTTGAAATTCAGGCAAGAAATGCAAATTACTTTTTTTTTTTACTCGCTCAATTATAAAAAAAATAAAAGTAGGATGCTATAATGCACAAATAAATGAAAGTAGGTTGTCATTTCTTGCATTTTGGTGTTTTAGAATATTGGTAATGAAGGAAATATTTTTTGTTGGATCAGCTATACAAAGGCAGTGCAGAATCATATCTTGTGGACTGGCAAAGAGTTATTGGACCTCCTTTTCTGTTCATGGAACTTTGTGCTGGATTTCGTGCTTGTGTTGTGTAATTGCATAGCCTCAATATTATGATTTATATTCTATAACATCCAGGACTCCATTTATCAATTATCATGTACATTTTGTAAATTCGGTTTTCTTTTGTAACAAACTATACACATCTTAAAGGCAAGTTATAATCGGCGGCATGGTAATCATATCAATGTGTTAAAAAAACCATTATGTGTCAGCATTTTACAAGTTTGCAGGGAAAATTTACTGTAAATAATCAATTTTCACAAGTAAAAGGTAAACAAATTAGAAATGAAGTGAAAGTACATTACTTTTTACTTGATAATCTAAAGACAAATTACAAAACTAAGAAAAGGAAATGCTATTTTCTGCAGGAAATATGTTTTGCCTTGAAGCCACAAATTGGATATAAGAGTTGCAAAGGGATAATGTTTTGGCTGGAAGACAGAAAGAAATTGAACTATACATAGGAACTAATGAATAAGAATATGTTTGATTACACTTATTCCTTAAGCAATCTCTACTTTATGTTGCAATACAAATTAGTTTTAATTCCAACTAAACTAAACTTGTAATAACCCCTCATTTTGATTTGTGTATATAGTTCACTAAACTTGAAAAATATTTTCTAACATGATACTTCATTCTCTAATGGGAAGGAGGAAACAAGTAATTACCTGATAAACAATACAAGTTTATTAAAAATTTCACTCAAAAAAAGATCTTAATCAACAATCAACATACAGATACAGATAAATGAATATACAAGTAGTCCATTGAACTTCTGTATGAGTAAAACAGAATACATAAATATTGTTAAGAATCAAACTACAAAAGTAATATATTATATATAAATTTCTAGTAAATTCTCTCAGCAGTGGATACGGGATGAAGAAAGACAACAATGACTGTTATATTATCGTTGCTGCCACGCTCTGCAGCCTCCATGGCCAATCTCTTGGAGCACATTCCAGGCTCTTTCACTGTCTTCTTCATTATCTCAACCACTTCATCATTCCGCACAACATCCCACAGTCCATCACTACCCATTACCTGAAATTTTCAGTGTATATATATATTTATTTACCCATTACAGCTACCTACTTTTATCAAACATGGTAAAGTGCATAATAATAATACCAGGTATTCATCCTCATCTGAAAGTATGGTCTCCGTAACCTCTGGTTCTGCAGTTACCCCAGGCTTCAGATCATCATCACCAATTGACCGTGTAACCTATTAATTAAAAATTAAACACTTGCTTTATATATAATAGAACTAGGGTTTATCTATACTGAATTAAGCAAACAAAATTAACCTGTAGGGCAGCTTGACCAACCCTCCACGTGTCAAGCTGCCATTTGACCTCACCACCTACACTCATAACCCGTTCTCTCTCTTCGTGACTACTTGCAACATGGTCCTACACAAAACAAATATAAATTAAGCATGTATGTAATGTATGTATAAATCAATGAAGAAAAATATATATGTCATAAAAATGGATGAGATTGATAACAACCTTACTTAAAGGAATGGCAGAACCTGCACGACATAAGATTGCTCTGCAATCACCAGCATTAGCAACAAAAAGCCTATTTTCAACTATAACAGCACCAATTGCTGTACAGCCTGGATGATAATCTTTCTTGGATTTACATTCAGAATTGGAATTCAATTCCTTTCTGAATGCCACATCTGTGTTGATGAATGCTTCTTTAAGTGCATCATGCGGACTGCATTTGTCATTAGTATAATAAAAAAGCTAAAGGTAAATTTTCGTTTAAAAAAATAAAATAAATAATACTTTATGATAATACGAACCTGGTGGCATGATCTAGACTTTGCAATAACAGTCTTGGTAGTGCTCCAACACAAAATTCTGCAGCTGCACCACCTGCATATGATAATACCCAACAATACATACTTAAAGTTTCTTAAAACAATCATACCTTAATTCACATACTGTGTATGTAGTATGTACCTCTGTGGCCATCAAAGATTCCAAACATATGGACATCTTTTTGATTCTCCACATGAGGCATAAGGAAATGAGTATCCTCCATGGATTCCCTTCTTCCACAAGTAGCAAAAGAACCCCATGATAGAACAGGAAGATACACTGAAGAACTATCCGAATCAATATTCCAATTTTTCACACCTACACCACTGCCATTTCCATTTGCAGTCTTCAAAATATTTTCACCCTGAACAAACCAGTTGATGTTCTCTTTATAAGGTTGGATTATCCGACCAATGTCATCATTTGAGGATGATTGAGGGAGAATATTCTCTTTCTCCTCCACTTTTAACATCTTATTATTTTCCATGATGAGATCAACTTCGGTGATGATATCATCAAATGAAGGCCTATTGTGCATGTCAGCATCCCAGCACCTTTGTATCAGAGATAGTAATCTTGGTGGTGCACCTGATTCAGTCCCTGCAAGAGCAGGTCTTAACCCTTCAGACACAACAGCTGCTGTCAGTTGCTGTTCAGTGTAGTTCATTTCCAGCACAGTGTGAGCCTGACATCAGGAGATATTATATTATTATGTTATAACTTATAAATATAATACATCAATATATGAAAATGAAACTACATTGCTATTTCTTGCATTTAGCTCGATTAAAATAGCTAACCTGTGCTTCAGTGCGAAGATCGGTATATGGGACAACACCTGTGAGAAGTTCACTACAATGGGTTAAGCTTCAAGTTTTGGATTTCTCCTCATAACTGAAGGAAATACAAATATTATGTCATAAAAGGTCTGTCATTGGATTCTTACTTGATTGAAATTCCAAAACTGTATACGTCGGATTTTTCGGTCTGAATCTCCTTTCTCAATACTTCAGGTGCCATGTAAATGAGAGTACCTACCATATTCTTCTTATGAAATCCACCTGTTGGCTTTCCTGATGATCTCCAGTTTTCCAGTGTGACTTGTTTAAGATCTTGTTTGTATTCAGACAAACCAAAGTCTGCAAGATGTGGACGCAGGCTTTTGTCAAGCTGCATCAAAGTCAGAATCATGTAATCAACCACTAAAAACACAGTATGGAACTGCAAAAGCAAAAGCTTCTATATAAACGATAGAGAACCAATTTGCTTATTATAGCATCATCCTTCAACTTCTTCCCATAACATCTTACTTTGAAAAATCTACCTACTTATAGCAATGTCATCCAAAGACAAAGCAATTTTCACTGCTAGAATATGAAAAGAATTGAAAGTGGGTAGATTCATCAAAGTATGATGCTTTAATAAGAAAAATATTGAAAGTAAACGGTGCAATAGAAAGAAATATAAGTAGGAGGACATAATATATGAAAGTGTGTTGCAAATCTTGCATTTAGACGCACATATATATATTAGAAATTTGAGATTAAATTACTACATTAACTTACAAGAACATTCGCTGGCTTCACATCTCTATGTATAATTCCAATGTTATGAAGATACTGTAAAGCATTTGCTGCAAAAGAGACATCACAAATAATGTTAACTTAGCTTTTGTACCCAAATTAAACTATCAAGTCGGTTAATAAGGAGTGCAAGTGTTTTTACCTAGCTGTCTGGTGATCATAAGTGCTTGGTTGATACTTGGATTCCATTCCTCAACATGTAACTTCTGAGAAAGATTTCCAAACTCATACAACTTGAAGAAGAACATGTAGTTTGGTGGTCTTGCATGTGCTGCTACCAATGTTGCAATCCCTTGATGATTTAACTTGCTTCACGTTTCAAATCATACAAACAAGTTAAAGATATGCCAGCAAGTTCATACTCTCCTTCCATTGCAGAAAAACAGATCATATTTTGTCTTTTTGAAGAATCAAACAGTTGGTATGCAACTTAACTTTTATGAACCCTTGGCTTATTTGGAAATTTCAAATTACATAAGTTTATAAGAAGTGCAACAAACTTGGTATCAAAATCTGTGCCAATTATGTTTGCATAAGAATTTTGACATCAAAAGGTATAATAGAACTAAGGGAGTATCCAGTTATCTGAACGAAGCACATGACTTATTTGAAGATAGGAAAGAATAGAAGAACTGACCATAGCAATTGCAATTCTTTATGAAACTTATTGATGTCGTCGGAGGTGGATAAAACGGGCTTTTTAACAGCAACTCTTTTCCCCTCCAAAGTTGCATCATAAACAACACTTTCAGCACCTGCTACCGTAAAATTGGGGTTTCTGCATATGTTAATTCCTTTTAGTTCAAGTTAAAAATGGAAGTGGTTCATACCTCGAGCAATTGGAAGTAAGAGAGAGTAGGAAGACGAAGGGAGGTGCAGAGGGATCGAATCGCTGCTGCAGCATCCTCTGATACAAGAATTAGGATGTACGATCTCTAAAACCATCCCGATTTTGGTTTGGGGACGGCTAATGATTGGTGTATGTATATGTATCATGCAAGCTACATACTACAGAGGCTTTTCACTTTAATGGCAACAGGAGGCAAATCGAAAAGCGACACAATCAAAGAAACAGAGACGGGTCGATCTAAGTTGATACGGGTTTTTAATAGAGCAATCCAGTCTAATCTTTTTATTTAAATAGTAGTATTTAAATAGGTAGATATTTCAAATACAATTTAACCTTTCAAATAAAGAGTTTTCACCGGCAACCAATCTATTAAATAAATAGGTTAACCCACTTAAAATTAAAAGAATAAATAAATTAACTAAATGGTGTATTTAAAGCTTAAATAAATTTTTAAAGTATAATAATTCCAGTTCACAAATACAAAGAGAAATTTCAAATAATATTAAAGATATATAATTTTAAAATAATTTTGAAGAGTTCCTACTGTTGTCGGTGCAAAGAAAAAAAATATAACAATTATGATTGGATTTTTTAAAACATAAATAATAATATAACACTGTAATTTATAAATTAATACTTAGATTAGTAGGTCTGATAATCGTGTTATGTTCGGGTTGCGGTGTCGCGGGTTGGCGGACTGACGGGTTAATGGGTCAAAATATGTCAACCCAAACACGACCCATTTAAATATACAAGTCACGAGTTGACGGGTTTGGAATATAAACCCATATATAACCTGTCAACCCATTTATTTATACAGGTTCATAGGTTGGCGGATTCGTAGGTCAGATTTCGATTCGTGGGTCCGAATTTTAGACATTTAAGTCTTAAACATCCAAATGAAAATTAAAAACATTCATAGAAACATGTTACAGACTTAGCCTTATAAGTTACGACTTACACATTAGACCATCCACTACGAGTTAAAATATCGAAATAATCAAATGGTCTATGAATCAATGATATATATATTATATAATACTTATTAAATATTAGTACTTGATACATGAATACATTTAAAAATAAAACAATTTTTTTATTAAGAAGATAAACAGGTTAACAGGTCAACCCGTTTATTTTTTGAAAAACCCATATATGACCCGTTTAATAAACGGGTTGACGGGTTGAAAAACTCAGCCCAAACCCATTTATTTTGTGTCGTGTCGCGGTTCGTGTTGCGAGTCGTGTCGAGAATTGTCAGCCCTATAGATTAGTACATGGTAATATTTAAATAATTATTAAATTAAATATATATTAAGTTAAATGGATTGGTAGGTTGAAAACGT